ATTACGTGTATTTACGAAAACGAGGTCAACTTTATGGTCCTAGTATTTTGAACTGGGCTGATACCAGCCCCAGTTACTCACATCAACCCCGTGCCTGACCAGAAGGACTTTCGTAAACCTGAACCATCAGGGACCAGTGTGTACAGAGTTACTGACTTTGTGCCCGCTGGCATGGGACTCGTGGGCACAGGGGCAAGGGTTATGGCTTAGTGACAACAACAAGAGAATATGCATGGTCAGGTCCATGACCTCAAACACAGGCCTGCCCAAGAGGTCTCAGAAAGTCTGTGGAGGATGCTACTGTCATTGACTTGCACCCTAGCCATCACTGCCATGTGTTCTCCATGCTCAGCATTCCCTACTACACAAGAATTCCCCCAGGACACTCACAACACAAGGATACACAAAACACGGACACAGAGGGCAAGACTCCCAGATGGCCACACCCCCCAGAGCTTCCTTGTTCCGCTATGAATAGGAGTCTGTGTTGAGGTATGACCACCCATGACCACTCCTGTGTGTGGCCGAGAGAGATTGGAGACAGAGCTCATAGGAACAGACGGGCCCGTCCCCTTCTACTGTGGTCCTAAGACACTGCCATGTTTGAATTTCTCCTGGCGTTCTTGCTCTTGATGAACCCTGACTGGTGCCTACCGATGTAAATTCCAGTCAGGTGACCAAGTCAACAAGCATCCATGAAGCTCATTCTGCGCACCAGACATGGCGCTAAGTACAGAAGACCCAAACAAGGGCATCTCAGGGGCAGAAATAGCACTGGATCCATTATTATGAGAGTTTGGGAAGCATCATGGATTCATGGATGGAGTCATCAGAATTCCACACTGCAAAAAGCCTAATGTCAGAAAGCTCCGAGATGGCAGAGGCTATGAGTTAGAGTCAGAGCAAACACTGGAGGTCATCTGGTCCGCCCCTCCCCATCCCTGACAAACTTCCCTAGCAATTGGTCACCCAGACTCTGCTTGAGTACCTCTACTGACGTACAAACTCTGCTGGCTCATTCCACTTCTGGACAGCTTGAACTGCAAGGGAGGCAGCATGGCATACATAAGGCATGGCATGCTGGGCTTCAAGTTGGAATGACCTGGGTTCAAATCCTGCCACAGACATTTGCTAGCTGGGTGACCTTGGGCAAGTCACTCAGTTTCTTCAACTCTGAAAGGAGGGGGTTGGGCTTGATGGTCAAGAAGGTCCCTTCTAGCTCTAAATCTGGGATCCTATGGGTTCAGATCCTGCCTCTGACACTTACTATCTATGTGCACCTTAATTCTGGAGTCATCCCTTTGTTGACTTATATTGTCTATATCTTGCTTGTGTATAGCTGTTTGCATTCTTTTTTTAAAAATTATTTTATTTTTAATTTATGGAATAAAGTAAACATTTCCATAACATATACATATGGGTATATATATATATATAAAATTATTCTAAACATATTTGTATTTATCATTCTTTCTCTGGATGTAGATGATGCCTTTCTTCATATGTCCTTTATAGCTAATTTGGGTACTTGTAATAGCCAAAATGACTATTTACTCAAAGTTGTACTTAAAACAATATTGCTGTTACTCAATATACAATATTCTCTTGGTTCTGCTCATTTTGCTCTTCATTATTTCATGCAAGTCTTTACATATTTTTCTAAGATCATTAATCATCATTTCATATAGTATAGTAGTATTCCATCACAATCATATACCACAACTTATTCAGCCATTCCCCAATTGGTGGGCATCCTAGCAATTTCTAGTTCTTGCCACCGCAAAGAGAGCTTCTACAAACATACAGGTTCTTTTCCTTTTTCCCTAATCATCTTAGGAAATAAATCTACTAGTGGTATTGTTGGGTCAAAGTTTAATAACTCCTTAAGCATAATTCCAGATTGCTTTCCAAAATGGTTGGATCAGTTCACAATTCCACCAATAATAGATTAGTGTCCCAATTTTTCCACATCCCCTCCAATGTTTGTCACTTTCCCCTTCAATCATTTTAGCCAGTGTGGTAGGTTGATTATAATCCTGAATGAAAAAAAGAAATGGATATTTGATGAACTGAAAGACTTTCAGGTATTTATAACAAAAAGACCAGAACTCAATGGGAAATTCAATATAAAAGATCCAGAAGAAATACAAGGAAAACATTAAAGACTAATTATAAGGCACTCATTAAGGTCAAACTGCTTACTTATTATATATGAAAATGTTACCAGTATTCTTAAAACTGTGAACATTAACTAAGGTAGTTTGAAATAAAGGTTGGGGATGAGTTGTATATGATGGGGTGATTCTAAAAAACAAAACTGAACAGGAAAAGAAAGAAAAGGAGCTATTATTTTATAAAAACAGGGCATGAAAGGAAGAACTAATATAGAGGAAGCAGGTAGGGGTAGAGTGCTGGTAATATTGGAACCTACTGTCCTCTGGGTTGAGGAGGAAACAATGTGTATGTCTAGAGGAGTGTAGAAGTCTACTTGTGGGGAGGTGAGAAATCTGGAGGACAAGGTGAGGGAGGGACTTTTAGAAGGGTGACTAGATTAAGATTTAGGAGGGTAGGGGAAGGAGATAGGTGAGGGACTTTTGAAGAGGTCTGTAGTTTAAGATTAGGAGAGTGGGGGGAAAAGGTAAGGGAGAGACTCTTAGAAGGGTAGGTAAATTAAGGACTTGGAGGGTAAGGAGAGAAGATAAGGTGACAGGGATAGGGTAAAAAGAGAAGCTGAGAAGGAAAATAGTGAGTAAAAATAAAATGGAGAGAAATTCACAAATATTATTTATAACTTTGAATGTGAACAGGATAAGCTGTTTGCATTTTGTCTTCCCCATTAGGATTTGAGTTTCTTGAGAGTAGGGCTTGTGTTGTTTTGTGGGATGGTTTAGCTATTTTTTTGTGTGTCCCTAGCACTTAGCACAATGCCTGGCAAATAGTAGGTGTTTAATAAATGCTTGTTGATTGTTGACTGACTGAGTGATTTCTTAACTTGACAGGAAACTGGGCAAGTCCACAGGGCTCTAAAAATGAGAAGATTGCACTGGATGACCTCTGAGGTTCCTTCCAGCTCTTCCTCTATGAACCTAAAGGTCTTTCCTTTCTTATATTAAGCTGAAATCTTCCTCTTTGCAAGTGCTAGCTAGCAGTCTGTATTCTACCTCTGGGCTCAGACAGAGCAAGTTTATTTTCTGCTCCCCATGAGAGACTTTCATATATTCATAGACATCAATCATGTTCCCCCTAACTCAGGAGTCCTTAATTTGGGTCCTTGGACTCCCAACATAGGTTTCCGAGGGTCTGTGAATTTGGATGGGAAAAAGTGTATTTTTGTTTTCACTCATTTTAAAAATTTTCTTTGCAATCTGATGCATTTTACTTTATGCATTTAAAGACATTACTCTGAGAAGACAGGGTTTAATTGCTGAAGGAGTTCCAGACAGAAAGAAGGTTAGGAACTCCTGCCCTGTCTTCTCTTCTCCAGTCTGGACATCCCCAGCTCCTTCAGTGGAAACCACTGTGGCTGGACTCCCAGTCCCCTGCCCCTCCTGGTCTCCACTGGAGCTCTCCACTTGCCCACAGGCTCCATAAAAGGTGACGCTCATATGGCTCAGATTCTGATCATGCCCATAGCTGGTCTTTAAAGTAAAGGAGTCCCAAGACTGCCTTACCCAAGACTGTATGATCTCTTCTTGTCGTTTAAGGAATAAAAATCATCATTCCAAGCCATGTGGCCAGTACCAGTCCCTGAATCCGCAGGTGACCCAGACATCTCTGGGCATGTCTAGTTTAGGGAAGACTCAGGGGAGCCTGACCTTTGAAGTCTTTGAATGACTTTCCCAAAGGTGGTTTAGACTTGTTTTGTTTGGACAAAGATGGGTTAACTTTGTTTCGTTTGGCTCCAGAAGACATAGAGAGGAACAACAGATAGAATAAGCAAGAGGCAGATGTAGGCTTGGTGTCAGAGGAACTCCTCAAGAATTTGAGCCGTCCAAAAACTGGAATGGGCTGACTTAGCCGGTAGTGAGCTCCCTGTCACTCGGAGGTCTTCAAGTAGAGACTGTATCATTAGAAATGTAAGGGGAACTCTTATTCAGGTCTGAAATGGATTCTGAGACCCCTTCAAACTCTGAGCTGTTGTAACATTATGTGTATTCTCCAAATATCATATTGATCTAAATAGAGGTCCCTTCAACCCCCACCCCCACCCCCTTGAATCTGTGTGAGATCTCCCTTTGTCAGTGTGGATTATAGCACATTGTGTGGAGATTGATTGATTACACACTCTTGGTAACTAACCTCATTAGCTGATTGGCCAAACTGTCTTGCTTGCTGTTTTTCATACACAGCATAGTATGTCCCTCCAACTCTGCCTTGACATATGGCTGGAAGGCTCTTCCTCTTCACTTCAGCCTCCTACCCCCTAACAAATTACCTAGTATTTACCATGCATGTATTATGGATGTTGGTTTCCCAATAAAATGTAAGCTCCTTGAGGGCAGGCACTGACTCAATGTACCTTTTGTCCCTAATGCCCAGCACAGTGCCTCACATTTAGCAGCTAGTTAGTAAATGCTTGTTGATTGATTTAGAAGCCCTGTGATGTCGCCAGAATAACACATGTTAAGTGACTGGCCCAGGGTCGTACAATGTGTGAGATTTAAAAGTAGAATTTGAACTTGGGGTGCCCTGTTCATCCAGCCTACTGTGCTATATTGCTTCTGCTAAACATGACACCGTCAAAATATTGTTATTCTGTAAAGTTTGAAATATTTTTCATTTCAAATGAAGATCTCATTTATAACATCAGGGGTTATCTTTTCATTGCTATACTCTTACTTGGACCCCCATTCTAGGCCATCCTCTGGTTTTGTTCAAGCCAGATTTGGGAGAAGGAGCAGCCAACACGGAGACCAATATGGTAATTCCCTTGTATAGAAGCCAGTCACCACCTGGATGCTTCTCTGAAATGCAACCCTTTGATTGATTCCCAGACTTACGGATTTTGCTGATGTCGTCTGTGCTGGTGTCTTGGGAGACTGGCCTGGCTTCCTCTGGGTCTGCCCGCCTTGAGGGGTGCTCACGGGCTCTCCTGAAGTGCTTGGCTTTTTCCCGGCCAGAGGGAGCTCGCTTCTTGAGTATTTTTCTACCGTAGTTGCTGTGGACCGGCACCCCGATGTAGATGGAATGATAGCCTGCAGAACATGGTGCAGAAGGGGAGGAAATTAGTAAAAGTCCTAGTTTTGGAATGTTACCTGAGAAGAGGCGTATTTCATTCATCGAGTTTGTATGCCCAGTGCCTAGCATATAATGTGCACTTAATTAATGCTTGCAGATTGACTGAAGGATGGATACTGCTTTAATAACCAATAGAACAGAGCATTGGGAGAAGAACCCTTGGGGGGAGCCCCACAGAGGCACTATGGGGGGTGCTGTGGGCCATGTTTCAACATTTTCACCCTTCTCCCACAGTCTAGCCCTACTTAGGTTGTTCTATATCTATTTTCCTTTTTGAAAAAGGTCTTGTTTTGGGGAGTGCTCTGCTTTCAGACCAATGTGGTTAATCTGCCTTACATGATAATCAACTCACTCCCTGTAAGAATCAAACTGCTGATGCCTCTGTGTCCATGAGGACACATCTCCCTCACTGGGAGAAGAAATGCCCATCACAGGCATGGCACCCACCTGCTTTTCTGACAGCAGAATTGTAATGGACCTCTCTTCTAAATGCTGTACTGTGTCAAGACTGAGGACAAACTGCAGAATCACCCAGTCCAATTCATATCGGGGAAGAAAGATCCCCTCAACATCACAACTAAACAGTGCTCAATCAGCCTCTGCTTGAAGGGACTTCATCCCTCCCACAACAGTCCATTCCACTTATGGCTGGCTTTAATTGTCAGCAACATGTTCCTTATGTCAAAACTAAATTTGCCTTTTTGTTCCACACTTTAGGAAGGAATGAGCCAGAGAGTGTTCAAAAGAGTGATAACAAGGGGGAGTGAAGGTCCTTAAGTTCATGACATATGAGGAATGGTTGAAGGAACCAGGCGTGTTTAGCCTGGTTTACCCTGGAGAAGACCCAGAGGCCAGGGTGACCTCCAAGTGAGATTCAAGTATTTGAAGAGTAGTTCATGTGGTAGAGGGACTAGATATGTCTGCTTGGCCCCAGAGGGCATGACCAGGTGCATTGGGCAGATGTTCCAGGGAGGCAGATTTCAGATTGATGTAAACTCTTAACAAATGGAGGTGTCCCAAGGTGGGAAAGGCTTCCTTGGAAGGTGGTGGCCCCCTCAGACAGGAGGTGGATGATCAATTCCTGGGGTTGTCAGAGAAAGGATTATTCTTGGGGTGCACAGTGGACCTCTGGGGTGACCCTTGAAGTCCTTTCCAACCCTGCCATTCTGTGCTCATGAAAATGATGTGATTGTGTGATGAGGGCTTGTGCCAGAGTGGGGGTCATAGGGGTGGAAATCAAAGGATGGATGACAGAGACCCCAAGGAACCAGATGTCTGCCTCTCCATCTGTCTAGTGGGTGTGGGTTAATAATCTAGGGCAGTCACATTTACAGAAAGCTCCAAAGTTTGCAACATCCTCTCTCCATATGATTTCATATGCCCTTGTGGAGGTTGGTACTACAGGGACTGTAATTTCCATTTTGCAGATTCAGAAAATGGGGATCCAAGATAAGTGGCTAGTCATAGGCACACAGCTAGTAAGTGTCAGAAACAGGATTTAAACCCGCATCTTCTTGCTTTTTCCACAGCGCTATGGTTAACAGCAGTAGCTAACATTTACGTAGTCCTTTGAGGTTTTCAAAGCACTTTATAAATGTTCTCATTTTATCCCCATTTTACAGTTGAAGAAACTGAGGCAGACAGAGGTGAGGTGAATTGCCCACACTCACACTGCTGTTATGTTGTTAGTTCTTCATACTCCAAGAGGACCCATGACATCACAATTTTGGGGTCAAGGTACAAGTGTGTCTGACTGTGCTGATCAGACCAATGTGAGCTCAGAAGGCTCTACCACAGGTCAGGCACAAATAGTCCATATGAACATTTGGAATGGAGATGACTCTAAGTCTGTGCCTCTCACATTTCTTTTCAGCTATTGTAATTCTGCTTTGCTCATAGAGCACAGTGCTTTCTTTGATGTGGTCATGCCATTCTGAACAGTCCTGTGCCAATGGGTTGCAATGTCTCACAATCAATACTAAAGTTCTTCAGAGAGACCTTGACAGTGTCCTTGTACTGCCTCTTCAGACCTACATGTGAGCACCTGCCTTGTGTGAGTTCTCTGTAAAACAGTCTTTTAGGTAAATGTATATTTGGCATTTGGATTAGGGGGAGGCAGGATTTGAACTCAGGTCTTCCTGACTCCAGGTCCAATGTTCTTACCACGCCACTGATACTTGCTAAGACAGGAGAAAAATTATCTTGCTTTTTTTGTTTAAGCTTTTTTTCTACATTCAGTTCTCTTGCCTACCTCATTGCTTCTACATAATGCTCCTTAGCACAGGGGTTCTTAATATTTGACTTAGATTTTGGGGCATGTGTGGTCTTGATGGGGGTAAAAATGACATCTTTGTTTCAGTAGAATTGGCTTTGTAATTGATGTATTTTATTTGTTCTGTGAGTGCCCTGAGAGCAGGGGCTTCATTTCCCCTTCTTTGTATCTCTAGCGCTCTGCACAGTTAATAACCAGAAGAGAGGGAATCCCAACTGCGGTCTCCTGACCTCCAATTACTTATCTTTCCTTTTTAACACTGGGTCCCCTCAGAGATGCTGTGTCTAGGGGCAGGTGTCCCAGGCTCCCAGGGCTAAGAGAATTACAGTCAGTGATTCCAACCTCACACTGGTGAGTGGACCTTACCTTCTTGTTTCTTACTTCTCCCTCTGGAGTCAGTGTTTTTTCTCTTGTCCACCCCAACCTCCTTCTCTTTCTCCATCATGTCTGGAAACTGGGAAAGCTTGGAGGCACAACATTGGTGTGTCAGCAACAAGTAGAATAAAAGAGAGAAAAGAATTGAAAATAGATTAAACACTGTAGCCTCTCAGCCCCAGAAACAGGAATATTTTTAAATGTGGTAAAAGTGGGTCACATTTTTTGAAATAAACGGTTTTGTGAGATCCTAAATGTCAAACTGGAAGGGACCTCAGAATCCATCTAGTACAACCCCTTCATTTTGTAGATGAGAAAACTGAGGCACAGAGAAGTAAATGGAATTGTCTAAGGCTAAACAGGTAGGAAGAATCAGAAACAGAATGTGAACCAGGATTCTGACTCCCAAGTCAGGCTCTCTCCACTCTACCACTTCTTCTCTAAAAGTTGTGTATAAATTCTACAATTATGCACTCAACTGTACACACAGTCTATGCAGAGGGGGTGGAAAGTTATCTCCAAGGGAAGGCTGTCTTCTTTAGTTTCTTTGATTATCCGTCCCTCACAACACAAGGCTCTCTGGGCACAGAGCTTGCCAGCTGTAATCAGGGTATCTCTTGGCATGCTCTGGTTGTGTCTGAACAGGGCTGTGTAGACTTTTAGGAAGCCTACAAATGAGTCCTCTAATGACTTCACCTATAGTGCCTGTCCTTCACACTCCATCTACTCATTCAGGCTGGATCGTAACTCATGATGGCAGGGAATCGATGCTTTGCCAAGGTCACCCTGGGAGAGGTTGGAGAGAAGTGGGCTTGGACAGCTCAAAGAATTTGCTGCCCTACTGACAGGCAGGAAGAATGAGAATAATATTATTTGTACTTCCTTAGCCTTGACCCCTTTATCCTTGGATTATTAGGACAGTCTCTAGCCTATGGTCTCTCTTCCCCATGAATTCATTTTGAATGCTTCCACTGACTTAATAATGACAAAAATAACAGTAATTCAAGCCAATGTACCATTCTCCTCACAACCAATGCTGTGATATAGTAGTAGTATTATCATTCTCATTTTACAGATGAAGGACCAGGCTCAGAGAGACTTGTGATTGGACCAAAACTGGTTAGCAGCAGAGCTAAGATTCAAACCCAGATTCTTTTATTCCAAACCCAGTGCTCTTTCCTGACATTAGGGTATCAGAGGGAGGTGATGCTCTATTCCCTTTTGCACACTTGGGTGTCTATTCTCCTCAGTAGACTAAACTCTCACAGTCTGTGGTTGTGGATGGACTATGCAAAAAGTAGATGCTTTAATAAATATTTGTTTAAACACCAGGTGGCGCTGCTGCTCCCAACCGGTTCTATTCACCATGAAAACCGGGTGCTGGGATGTTTCAGGCTGGCTGCTTGGGTTATGGGGTCCACCCTGCGAAGTACCAAACTCTTCATGGTCCCTAGGGAACTGGGGCTTCTTTCCCCTAGGTCCTCCTCTTTAACTGGTAGGCAGACTCAGATCTTAATCTAAGGGGTGTGGTCAGTGAAGGTTTACTTATCCAGTCAGAAGCCTTTTGGTGCTTATGATCTTAACCTAAAAGTAGAGTTAACTTTGTCCAGTCTGACACACTTAGGGCTCCATCTCTAAACGAATGAATGGATGAATGAATGAAGCGTGCAAAGCACTGTGCTAAGCACAGGGGATATAAAGAGAAATATCCCATGGAGAAAACCCTGCGCCTTCCCTGGATCAGCTATCATTTTATGCAACTCCATCATGTGAAAACACAGACACAACATACTAAAAGCCAGCCAGCCTAGCATCCAAATAAATATGCGTAATCGCATAAAATTCTACTCATAGCCATAAGAAAAATCACAACAATAAAATTAAAAACAAATATGACCTTGTGGACAGAGTGTTGGACCTGGAGTCAGGAAATCCTGAATTCAAATCTAGCCTCTGCCACTTAATAGCGGTATGACTCTGAACAAGTCATTTAACTCCTCTATGCCTCAGCTGCCTCATCTGTAAAATGGAGACAATATTGCCCCTAGCAACCTGCTAGGGTTGATATGAAGACCAGATGTGACAATACTGGTGAACGTTTTGTAAATGTTAAAGCACTACCTAAATACTAAGGATTAATCCAGTTGTTGTTGTTATATGCTATTATCTTATCCACTAGAGCTCTGAGTACACAGCTTCTCCCAGACTTAGCCTATAGTCTTCCTCTGAACCCAGGAGCTGGAGGAAAAACAGTTTCGATGGCCTCTGCTCAGTCTCCTGTCTCCTCCTGGCCTCCTGAAAGGTCAGTGCCTTGGCCAAAGGAGCCCAGTATTGCAAGGGAGAAGAGGAGCTGCCTTGTTTCTCCTTACTCACCGCCTTGCTTTCTTTCTGCCTCTCTCCCTCCTGTTCTTGAGCAGCCCTGGAGAGCCACAGGCTCACAGGAGCCAGAGCTGGAAGGGATCTTAGAGGTTTCTGGGTCTAATCTATTTTTTTTTTTTTACAGATGATGAGACTGAGGCCAAGAGAAGTTATATAATTTGCTCAGGATCAGAAAAGTAGAAAGTGATCACGTGGGATTTAAACCTGGGTGTTGCTGACTCCAGGTCTGGTGCTTTGTCCAATGCATTAAGTTCCTCTTAGGCCTTCCACCTTTGCTCTTCCAACCCTCCTCTTCCTCCCTCAGCCTATTCTCTTCATATGGTGGGCCTCCCTCTGGAGGGAGCCTGGTCCCAACCTGCCTTTCCCACCTTGTTCTATATTACCTCCCCTCCCATGTCTGAGGTCCAGCCACATTGCTGTGATTGTCCCTCACACATGACATTCCGTGACACTGTGGTTAAAATCCAGCCTCAGACACTTACTAGCTTTGTGACACCCGGTAAATCACTTAACCTCTCTGTGCCTCATTTTCCTCAATTGTAAAATGGAGATAATAATAACACCTTCAAAACTCCCCTCAGGCCCTTCCTCCTATGTGAAGTCATCCCTGGTGTCCCCAGCCTCCATCATCTTATACTGATTTTGTAACCACTATATAAGTGTACACTGTCTCCTCAGGAAGAATAAAAATTCCTCAAGGGCAGGGACTGTTTAATTTTTGTCTCTGCGCCCACAGGTCCTAAGCACTGCAGATACTTAGGAAATGCCTTTTGGTCCATTAACAGTTGTGGAATTAAGTAGAAGATTCCCCGGAGCTCACACTCAGCCCAGAGGGCAGGTTGTGCTCTGAATCCATGCTGCCACAAACCAGCTCTTAAACAATCCCACCTGCCCTGGGGTATAAATCCCTCTTTTCCTCTCTGATAATATAGCCGGCACACATGTCCTCAGCTCTGTGATGCTGGCAAGCACTGGACTGACATGATTTCCATTTGAGCCTCATAAGATCCCTGGGTGATAGGTGCTATTATTATCCCCATTTTACAGATGAGGAAACTGAAGTCAAGAGATTAAGTGTTTACCTAAGGTGGCACAGATGTGGGATTCAAACACAGATCCTCCTCACTTCCAAGTCCAGTGCACTACCCCCACACTGCCTATTTCTTTTTCTGGCTGGGGGAGAGTGTTGGGGAATGAAACCAAAGTCTGGAATGGTTCATGGGGATTCAGTTTCACTGATCTCACAGCCCTCAGCCGCAGCCTGCGTCTGAAACTGTGGTGAGACCAGAAGACTGAAGCCTGGGCTGGAAACTCCTGGAAAGAGGCAAAGCATGCCCCTGTAGAGCCAGGAGACAATTCAGAATGTGAGGCCAATCATCAGACTCTCCTTCGGCTTGTTTGCTCTGAGAAGGATGCTCGGGGTATGTGACCCACCAGCTCGGGAGAGAAAGGGCCACGAAGTTTGAAGTGAGGCTGTGAAGTTGCCAAGGCAACAGTAGCTATTAGAGACATCGGCTCCAGGAAGGACGTTGGAGGACACAGCCTGGGGGGCACGATCACTTGGTAATTTGCCTAGTCAGTGGTGGCTATACCCACTCTCACTTCTCTAGCTCCCAAAGGTTTATGAAGATCTTTCCCAGAAGTGACCCACTGAGGCAGATGCTGCCAGTTTAATTATTATTTCTATTTTACAAGTGAGAAAATTGGTGCTGGGGATGGGGATGAGGACAAGATTTGTCCATGGTCACCTTGCTGGGAATGGGACAGCAGGGATTGGTCCACAGCATCTCTGATGCCTGAGCCTGTGCTATGTAATAACTCCTTTAAGTAGTCAGACTACATACAGCTGGGAGGCTGGGTCCAATGGAGAGGCCACTCTTGAGGAAGGATGCTTATAAGATGTGGACTGTCCAGAGGAATGGTCAAGGGCCTGAGTCCATGCTAAATGAAGACTGAGTCAAGGGGCTGAGAGCATTTAGCCTGGAGACCCAGGGGGAAACGGCAGATACGTTTAAGAACTTGAGGACTTGTGGGAAAGAGAAGTTCCATTTGTTCTGCTTGGCTCCAGGAAGCAGAACCAGGACGAATGGGTGGGAGCTGAAAGGACAAAGATTTAGGTTTTATATCAGGAAAAAAATCCCTAACAGTCAGAGTCATCCCAAAGAGAAGTGGGTTGTGGGGATCTGGGGGAGAGGAAGCAGGGCATGCTGGACTTGGAGCCAGAAAGAACTGAAATCAAATCCTCTCTCAGACAATTAATAGCTGTGTGACCCTGGGCAAGTCACTTAACCCCTATCTACTTCAGTTTCCTCATGTGTAAAATGGGGATAATAGTATGGTACCTACCTTGAAGGGTTCTTGTGAGCATCTAGTGAGATGGCACACATGAAAAATGCTTGGCAAATCTTGAAGCGTTATATCAACACTAGCTATTATTCTATGGTAATTGCTAATTTGTGTGGGCTCCCCCTCCTCCAAGGTCTTCAGGAACTGGCTGGATGAGCACTTGGAGGAGATGCCTTTCCTGGTACCACTTAGAGCAGATGGCATCCGAGGTCCCTTCCAACTTGGAAAGTGGGCTGATCTGTTCCCCAGCAGCCACATTCCTTGGGACCTTACATGGAGAGGAGTGGTCTGTGAAACTCATTTTCCCCCAACACCCATTGGGAACCCCTTAATATTTCAGATCAAATGATAATAATAACATTC